AAAGAAAGAAAGAAAGAAAGAAAGAAAGAAAGAAAGAAAGAAAGAAAGAAAGAAAGAAAGAAAGAAAGAAAAACCAAATACTTATTCACAATGCAAAACTATCAAATATACATATTACAAAACTGATGTTTGGATTAGTTGTATAAACATACAGTATTATGATTACTTTTATCTACAGGTGCAACATAACTACTTTTGGAATATGTAATTGTTTGTGAGTCACTCTAGACTTTCAGTGACACGTGTTTCTCTGTCTTTGGAAGCTGGCTTGTTCATATCCATGCTATGGATGCTATTATTATTGTTTATGACCAGAGGTAGTATTCAGCAGGTTCTGACCAGTTCTGGAGAACCGGTAGTGGACATTTTGAGTAGTTTGGAGAACTGGCAAATAACGCCTCTGACTGGCCCCGCCCCCATCTGTTCTCTGCCTCCTGAGTCCCAGCTGATCAGCTGGGTCTTCTTCTGTTGTCCTGCGCAGGAGACCAGAGCTGGAAAGCAGGTTAATGGAGTGGGGAGGGAATGTGGATTTTGTCGTATCCTTCCCCTGCCATGCCCACTAAGCCACGCCCACAGAACTGGTAGTAAAAATTTTTAATTTCACAGAATACTTTATGATTAAACGCACGTTCTTCATAGTTTCATAACTTATTCAGTTGTCAAATGTTGCTTTTTCTTTAACCATTCATACCAACAATTCCAAACTTTGTAGTATTCACTATCTTTGTTGTTTTTTTAGTAATTTGGTTAGGCTGTCCATCTTTGCACACTCGTGAATTTTTTTAATGACCATCTCCTCTGAAGGGACAATAGACAGTTTCCAATTTTGAGCATAACTTATTCTGGCTGCCGTTATAATGTGCAAGATTAAATATTGATATTTTTTTCTATTTTTGAGTCTATCATACCCAGCAAAAAGGTTTCAGGTTCAAGTTTTACTTCTTGTTTAGTTATATTTAGAATCCAATTTTTGAAATTTTTCCAAAACTTCTGAGCATATGGACAGGTCTACCACATACGAAAGTATGTTCCCTGGACACAGTTACACTTCCAACAGTTTGGGAGGACATTCGGGAACATCTTAGCCAGTCTCGTGGGTGGCAAGTGCCAACGATACACCATTTTATAGAGATTCTCTTTGTATGAGGCTGACATAGTTAGTTTGTAATTTATTTCCCAAATATGTTCCCACTTGTCTAATTCAATACTGTGGCCCACATTTTTTGCCCAAATTATCATAGACTCCTTGACTGTTTCTTCTTTTAATTTATAACCCAATAGATATTTATATATTTTACTAATCAATTTCCTTTTCAATTTCCAGCCAGGTGATTTTGTTCACTTTTGTATTTCAAACAATGAACTTAGTTACACATAAGAAAATTGAACAAAAAGAACCAATTAAAAGATGGCAGGCCTTGAAAAGGAAGGAGGTAGGAGAAGAAAGGAGAGAAAGAATAAGTAAAATAGAGATAACTAAGACACCACAGTGCATTAAATTTCAGAATTTCAGTTTAAATATCTTGTGCTCTTTTCTTATAAAGTGAAACCATTTTCGGGAGCTTTAGGTTCATCAACCAACATGGTAGATTGAACTTTAGCTGTGATAACTATGTTGTAATACATTTTAATGTTTTATTTTATTCTAATCAGAATAATTCAGAATCTATTCAGACTCTATTCAGGAGAAATTTCCTGATGGTTAGAACAATTAATCAGTGGAACAACTTGCCTCTAGAAGTTGTGAATACTCCAACACTGGAAGTTTTAAAAAAGATGTTGGATAACCATTTGTCTGAAGTGGTGTAGGGTTTCCTGCCTAAGCAGGGGGTTGGACTAGATGACCTTCCAACTCTGTTATTCTATTCTATTCTATTCTATTCTATTCTATTCTATTCTATCTATCTATCTATCTATCTATCTATCTATCTATCTATCTATCT